TCCCCTCCAAACTTAACTCCCAACCAATGTGGGACTTTGGCATTTTGCCAAACTTCAACAGGACATAGTTTGATCATAGAAATACATTATTAAAAGGACAACATATGTTGTTTCCTTAATCTCTGTCCACATAAAAACAGTACTAACCTGACAACATAGATTAATTTGATAGTTGGCATACAAAGTTCCACCAATGATGCTGTTAAGTAGATGCCTTTTGGATTAGTTAGCAGAAGACATTCGAGAGATTTTATTTTTGTCATAATCATTAATTAAGTAGAAGTTCAATGCAGGCCTACAATATGACTTGATTGTGAAAGTGTTTTTTTATATTTACAACATTGTCTTCAACTTTCTTTTTATTTTATTTTATTCTATTTAAAGACTATGGGTTTAATCGACTCAAAGAATCCACATCGTCCTGGGGTGGCATAATTTGTGCACCTCTTGGCTAGTGGGTATTCAAATAAAGAATTACGATTTGATAGACAACAACGGTAATGGTATTTTACTACTAATATTTGCTAGGATATCATATATATCCTATTTAGTGATGGGCCCCAAACAAAACATTTTAAAAATAAACGAAAATATAAACAAAAGTCTTTAGCAGGATGGGCGTTTGATAAGAACTTTTGGCGTGGATTGTGAACTCGTGATTTATAGGGGAAAGAAGTTGTTCTAGTTTATGACAATTCCCTTCATTAAAAAGAAGCACAAAAGAAAAGGAAGAAGACGAGGGGAAGTGAAGGCTTGATATACGAGTAAATGCACGGTGTCGACAAGGTAATTAAAAACGTACTCACACATGGAGTTTTTCTGATTTAATTATTAGATGTATGATATGTATTTATGAATAAATTTTTATAACATAACAAATGGTTGACTAGCATACATTTGCACATTATTTGATCTCTTAACCATAATAAGTTAATTTTATTTTATTTGACGTAAATTCTAAGTGAGGATAACAAGCAATGCAAACACATTAGAGAGAAAAGTTGGGTAATTAAGAGGCGTGATGTGAGCAGAGCTCTTTGGAAATTGGAGTTAATTTAATTGGTTGACATCCCAAGTGGGGAAATCTATACGCTGTCCTCTGGCAGTGCAGGCATATCATCTCTCTTGTCTATTTCTTTTAAGTGTCCTAAAAAACGAATGATTAGTGCCTTTGTCACTTCAAAAATAGAATAAGAAAAGAAAAGAGATAAAAATAAAGAAATGCAATTATTAACACAACTTGTAGCTGGCAGTGTGCGTATGAGATTTTGCACTGCAAGTTGCACAGATACGCTTGCGTGCATACGACTCGGCACTAGCAAGCCCCCCATTCCCCATGACTCAACTTTTTTGTTTACTTGGTTGCTTGCAAGTGGCAACTATAACTAAACATTAAAAGTAGTTTTCCAAATTGTACCGATATTAGAGCCCGTTTGGACACAAGAAATTTTTTATTTTTTTCCGATTTTTTTTTCACTTTTTCCAAAATTACTGTTTGATCATAAAATTTTTAATTTTCACTTCAAGATGCATTTTGAAATTTTTCGAAAATTTGAAAAACTCCAAAAAATTATTTTTCAAAATTTGTTCACTCAGATCACTCGCAAAACTTCAAAAACAACCTAAAATTATGTTTTGTGCAAACACAACTCTAATTTTCAAATACTATTTTCACTTGAAATTTTTGTTAATTTTTTTTTTTTTGTAATTTTATAATTCTTATGTCCAGACGCCCAATAAAATATGTACATCTCCAGGATCCTCACCTATGTTTTTTTTTTTTTTTTTAAAAAAATT